ACCTACACCACCCCTACACCACCACCACACCACCCCAACACCACCCCACACCACCCCCAACACCCACCTACACCACCCACACACACCCCAACACCACCCACAACAACCAACCAAACACACACACACCTACACAACCCTCACACCACACACACCATCCCCACCACCACCCACACACCACACCAACACCAACCACACACCACCAAACACCAACCAAAACACCACCCCAAACACACCCCCACACCACTAACACCCACCCTACACCACCCCCAACACCACCCAAACACAACCCAAAAACACCACCTACACCACCTACACCACTACACCCACACACCACACCACACCACCAACCAAACACAACCAACATACACCAACCAAACACCAACCAAACACCACCCCCAACACCACCCACAACAACCAACACCACCCCACAACCACTACACCACACACCCCCCGACCCTCCCACCACCCAACACCACCCCCAGCCCAGCCGCACAGAGGCTTTCTCGCTGGGCCCACTGCGGCTCTGAGCAGGAGCAGAGGGTACTGTGCTTAGCTGTCTAGGGTGGGCCCTGTCACAGCCCGCTGAGGTAGGAACGACATGAGGCTCGAGCTCAAGGTCACACAGCTCGGCAATGCAGATCCAAGGTGCAGTCCCTGGGCTTCCTGCCAACCTCACCCAGCTTCCCAGGGGTGTCCCAGGCTCCAGGACGCCTGAGCTGGGGAGGAGCTGGATGCCAGCCAAGAGCCAGCCAGATTCCCAGGCCAAGTCGAGTCTGAGCCAGGCGGGTCAGCAGTGCCAACGGGCGGATGGCCACAGCCAAGACATCCTGGGCCCCATCTCAGAGCCCAACGCATACTGTCAGTCCCAAGAGTGAACATAGAGGGACCTCCCTTTCTCATCCAGCCCGGGCGGCAGGGAGACTAGGGGCTGGGGGCACTGGGCAGGGAGGGGGCAGGGCCCTGACCCAAGAACCTACGTCCCTCTGTACCAGTTTCCCAAGGCTGCCGTAACAAATCACCACAAACCTAGTGACTTAACACAAGTTCATGCTGCGGCTCTGGAGGTCAGAAGTTCAAGTCAGGGCTCTGGCTGGGCTGCGTTTTCTCTGGAGAGAACACACCCCCAGCCCTCGCAGCTTCAAGAGGCCGCCTGCTCTCCTTGGCTCCTGGCCCTTTCTCCACCTTTGAAGCCTCTCCAAACACTGCTCCCTTCTCAAGTCAGCTCTTCCTCAGCCTCCTTCCTACAGGGATCCTGTGACCACAGTTAGGACTCGCCTGGAGAATCCGGAGCCATCTCCCATCTCAGATCCTCTGCTTCCTCATGGCTGCAAAGTCCCTTTTGCCATAGAAGACACATTCACAGGCTTGAGGATTTGAATGTGGGTGTGTCAGGGATCTTTCCTGAGCCCACATCAGCCCCTCCCTGGACATCTGCCCCGAGACTGGCTGTGCTCTGGAAGCCATGGTCCTGGGGAGGAGAAAGCCAGGCTCCCTGGCTCGATGGGGCCACAGTCCCAGGAAGGGGGCCTTGCCAGGACCCTGGTGACCATGTAGCAGGACGAGCCGCAGACAAAACTACTCAGACACTGGATTAAAGAAGGAAGAGGTTTTCTATTCGGCCGGGAGCATCGGCAGACTCGCGTCTTAAGAGCCGAGCTCCCTGAAAAAGAAATTCTTGGCCTTTTTAAAGGCTTACAACTTTAAGGGGTCCACGTAAAAGAGTCGTGATAAATCGAGCAAGTGTGGGAAACGTGACTGGGGGCTACATGCATCAGCTAACAGAACAAAAAGTTTTACAATGCTTTTTTCATACAGTGTCTGGCATTTACAGATAACACAGGTAGTTTTGGTCAGGGGTTAATGTTATTATTATTACTTTTTTCAACTCCTAGGGCCGGGTGGTGGTGCCAAGGTTGTCTGGCTATTTATTTTACTTTTGTTTCTTTCTTTTTGCTTTCTCTCTTTCCTCCTGTCTTGTGAACTAGGCAAGGTAGGGGGAGGAGGGCAGAAGGAGTAGTAGTGGTCTCCTTCCTTAGCCACAGTCCAGAAGTCCGTACCACAGAAGAATTCAGGACCCTTTGCCCGTGCTCATCACGAGAAGCCAGGCAGAGGCTTGTTCCCACTCTGTCTCTCCCGCACCCCTTGGGTCTGCCCACACCCAGGTCTCCTCGACATCAAAACTGACCAAGACCAGGGTGCAGTGCCTGACTCAACTCATGGGACAAACCCTAACCACGCCTCCCTCTCCCGGGAGCTCTGGCCACTCCCACATAAGGACACACAAGGATACTAGGGGCGTCTGACACCCCAGGACCGGGCCCCCAACCTCTGCCAGCCATTCGGGGACAGGTGGACTCAGCTACGTGGGTAGGGGAGACCCGGGTGCGGCAGAGCTGAGGGAGTGCAGGAGAGACCGTGAGAGCAGGACTCTGCCTAGCACCCTGGGGATCCTCCCCAGAACCCACCAGATCCATCCCTTTCCTCCTCCTTAGGGACTGGGGCTTGCAGGCACTGCTCCAGCACCCACTCTTTGAGGGATGGAGCCAGCGTTGCCTTGGAAACGGGCATCTAGGAGTGGAGTTCATTCCTAACACGCTCAGCTTTTTGTCTCTTAATTCATTGGACTTAATAGTGGCGTCTATGCAGGGGAGGAGCAGGTGAGGAGGCGGCTGGAGAAGCTCGCCTCGGAGGCCAACCCTCCCTCAGCCCTGCCTCTGCCCCTGGCGATCCTCTGAGCCCAGGATCCGGTGGTTCAGTGGTGTCCCCAGCAGGCTCTGAAATGCACTGCAAGTCACACCACACCCTGGGCAAAAGCCAGCTCCCCCTTCCCCTTCTCTCCCCTCTGGGCTCTGAAGGCCCGGCCAGCCTCCCCTGCAGCCCTGAGTTGCAGCCACTGCCCTGCCTTGACCCTGCAGCGCCTCAGGCTCCTGCCCCCTGCCTCAGGCTAGGGAGCCCAGGAACCCAGGGAAAGGGAGCCCTGCCACCCCGCCACGCCCCTCCCGGAAAGCTCTCACAGCTTCTAACTCCCGGGGCCTTGGCTCCAGACCGCTGCTCCAGGAAACACAAACTCCACCTCCACGTGAAGAAACCCAGCGTCTGAGAAACAAGATGAAGGCGAAGGGGGCGAAACCTCGGCTGGATATCATCCTCCCAAAGGCGAGGTGGCGTCCTCCCTCCCGGGCCCTCAGCCCTTCCTGGAGCTCCGGGGCCTGCAGGGGCCACCAGCACTCCGCGTGGGAGGGGAAGCCTCTCTGCACCCCAGCCGGTCAGCCCGAGGTCTGGATCCGGTCCCGGTGCTTTCGGCAGCGAGAACAGGAACCGAAAAGCATGTCATTGCAGCTTGTTTGCTCCCATAAAGAGAACTGTGGAGGCGGGTGGCTGCGGGCACCCCGAACCAGCCAGGGATGAGTGAGCGGGGCCTGGTTGTGCCTGTCAGGGAGACCCTGCTTAACCCGCAGGGAGTCCGGGAGCACTGCCCTTCATGTTCACCGGTGGTGGCCCTAGAATTGCACCATCAACCAGGGTCTGCTTCTGGCAAAAGGGCCCGGGGGGTCTCTGCAATCAGACCACACACCGCAGGCCACAGCTAGCGCCCCGCCCCCTCCACCAGCCCTGCCCTGGCCTCGAGCCACCAAGGGCCACCAAGAGCCAGTCCTCCTGAGCCTAGGGCGACCCAAGGAGCTGCCGACCTCTGCACCCAGCCTCTGTCCCCTGCTCCCGCCTCTCCCCAACGCTGGGCTCTGCCCTCTGCTCCAAGCCCCTCTCCTGGGCCTCTGTTTCCCCCGTCCCCAGCCCCGACCCCCACCCTGGACCTCTTCCCCACAACCCTGGGCCTCTGTGCCCCCCTTCAGCCTCTGTCCCCTGCCCCTGGCCTGGGTCCCCATGGGGCCTCCGTCGTGCTCTCTGTGCAGCATCCATGGGGGTTCCCCAGCGGCCATTGCCTGAGCACTTTGGCAGCTCCCAGTGGCAGCCACGCCTCCCAGGTCCTGCGTGAGAAGGCCCTGCAGCTCTCCGCCGTGCTCTGTGTGCGCGTCACCATCTATTCAGCAAGTCTCTGGTGTTCCTGGCCACATGAAGGTGTCACAGCCCTTCCAACCAGAGCGACTCCGTCTTGAGTAGGGGCTGGATGAAATGAGGCTGAGACCAGCTGGGTTTTGGGACCTTAGGTGTTCGGTCACCAGATATTACAGTTAAGGGAGCAAATGAAT